GAGGGGCCGTACAATCAGAAGGATTGTGGAGAGGGCCCGATGGGCAGCCAGTGCTCGCAGCAGAAGTGGCCCAGGAGAAAATCAAAGAAGCTCATGGGCTAGGTCATGTGGGAGTGGCCCAGATGGAAAGGGATTTGTGTCATTGGTGGCATCCCTACATGAAAAACCTGGTAAGGGAACATGTGAGAACCTGCCTGATTTGTGGACAATACAATCCGAAGCCCACCGTGAAACCAGAAATGGGTAAGTTTCCTTTGCCAGAAAGACCAGACCAGGAAATTGTGATTGATTACACTGACATGATAACCACTGTTCGAGGGTTTAGATATCTGTTGGTGTGTGTGGATGGTCTGACTGGCTGGCCAGAGGCGTGGCCAACGCGCAGAGAGGATAGTAAAACAGTGATCAAATGTCTGGTGAATTATTATGTCCCCTGGCATGGATTCCCAGAGAAGGTAAGATCAGATAATGGCACTCACTTTAAAAATCGAGATCTCGCTGAGGTGGAATGTATGTTGGGGTTGCAACATAGATATGGTACAGTTTACCATCCACAATCTCAGGGAAAAGTGGAAAGAATGAACCAAAATCTTAAAAACAAATTGGCAAAAATCTGTGCACAGACCAACTAGGTGTCTGGGCAGAAGAGATAAAACCACATTCCTTACCCCCCTTCCTGCTTCACACAGAAAGACAGGGAGGCAAGGTCAGGAGCCAGGCTCGCTAAGAATTAGAAAAACATGTGAAGATGCAGCTTTTATGACAAAGAGGGGGGCTGTGACTAGCTATAAAAGTCTGTGAAAGTTGCTACCATTTTGAGACATGCTGTCGAACCTCTGCAGGCATCTCTCCCGTCCGGACGATGTAATGCTCTGACTGTTGAATTGTATGGAAATAAATGATTGTTGATTGAGCATTTATACACCGAGTATTGTCCTTCCTTCAGCCCAAAGATTCAAAGAATTGGGAGATTTCAACAGTCTTCAAGCAACTTAAACAAGTCCAGACGCTTTTCTTTGCAAGCTGATTTGACTACGATGACCTGGATGACTGAGAACCTTCACAGACATAATAAACACAAAGTTTTTGTTCTATAACATTTTTCTATCATTGCTTTATTATGGATTAGGTGCAAGAGTTGTTAAAATGTATAATTAAATAATAGATGGATTCAATAGCAAACTGTGCCTCGTTCTCAGATGGACAGCAAGTGGAATGTGATAGATGAGATGAGGAGATGGAAGGAAGAAGAGAGGCAAAGAGTGATTCACAGGCAGAGCTTAGTTTATTTCCCAGTTTTGTTGCCTTATGGTTCCAAGCGCCGTGACCAATCTTTGCGTTTTATTATTATCTCATAACACTTGTTTAATCAGCTACCCTCTCTCCTGTGGACTGTTTAATCTCTACAGTCTCAGATCAACACAGCCCTGCCCTCCAGCACTATCAGCAGCAAGAGCAGAAGCAACCCCCCAAACAGCAACATTGTACCCATCAGGTAAAAAATGGGCTACGTTTGCTTTGCATTGTGCCCACCTGATGACAGTGATGTAGTGTGATGCGATTCCATATTAGATTCTTGATGAATGTGGGTTGTTGTTCTTCAGCCTGCTTCTATGTGCCCTTTTTAACTGTGAGCACCCGCCCCTTTAAACATCTCTGCACTGCCCTGACTAAATGTATATATAAACTGTCTCTATGGTTTACAGTCTGAGTCTGACAAGCTGTCAGCTGTTCATTTCTGCTATTTGAATTGTTAAAAGAAAAAAACTATTCATTTAGCAGATTAACAAAAAGAATAGAGAGGCATCCAGTTATTGACATTTATATTATTTAGTTAAAGGTTTGAACAGAAAAACAATTAAACACAGAGCCTCTTCCTGCTTTCTGGAATGAATCACAGCATGAAAACCCTTCCTCTTCTTCCTGCTCTCTAGCTCAGCACCTCCTGTCTGTCCATATCGTTCTGTGTTCCCTCCCCTTTAGATCTACATTATGAAGATGGGTGTAACCAACATGTGTTAGAGCTGGCAGGCCCCATTCACAGCAGCAACACATGTTGTTCAGATCAGACCAGTTTCTATATTAAGGAAGTGAAACTTACACAGACACTGACACTGAGAGGAGAAATGGCGCAGAAAGGAGTTCAGCTAGACCGAGAAACCTTCTCTTGTTCGATCTGTTTGGATCTACTGAAGGATCCGGTGACTATTCCCTGTGGACACAGCTACTGCATGAAGTGTATTGAAAGCTTCTGGGATGAAGAGGAAAAGAAGAAAATCTACAGCTGCCCTCAGTGCAGACAGACTTTCACAGCGAGGCCTGTCCTGGTGAAAAGCACCATGTTAGCAGTTTTAGTGGAGGAGCTGAAGAAGACTGGACTCCAAGCTGCTCCTGCTGATCACTGCTATGCTGGACCTGAAGATGTGGCCTGTGATGTCTGCACTGGAAGAAAAATAAAAGCCTTCAAGTCCTGTTTAGTCTGTCTGGCATCTTACTGTGAGAAACACCTTCAGCCTCATTATGATGTGGCTCCATTAAAGAAACACAAGCTGGTGGAGCCCTCCAAGAAGCTCCAGGAGAACATCTGCTCTCGTCATGATGAGGTGATGAAGATGTTCTGCCGTACTGATCAGCAGAGTATCTGTTATCTCTGCCTGTGGATGAACATAAAGGCCACGACACAGTCTCAGCTGCAGCAGAAAGGACTGAGAGGCAGAGAGAGCTGGAGGTGAGTCGACAAAACATCCAGCAGAGAATCCAGGACAGAGAGAAAGATGTGAAGCTGCTTCAACAGGAGGTGGAGGCCATCAATCAGTCTGCTGATCAAACAGTGGAGCACAGTGAGAAGATCTTCACTGAGCTGATCCATCTCATCCAGAAAAGAAGCTCTGATGTGAAGCAGCAGATCAGATCCCAGCAGGAAACTGAAGTGAGTCGAGTCAAAGAGCTTCAGGAGAAGCTGGAGCAGGAGATCACTGAGCTGAAGAGGAAAGATGCTGAGCTCAAGCAGCTCTCACACACAGAGGATCACATCCAGTTTCTACACAACTACCCCTCACTGTCAGCACTCAGTGAGTCTACAGACTCATCCAGCATCAATATCCGTCCTCTGAGCTACTTTGAGGATGTGACAGCAGCTGTGTCAGAGGTCAGAGATAAACTACAGGACATTCTGAGAGAGGAATGGACAAAGATCTCACTGACAGTCACTGAAGTGGATGTTTCACTGTCACAACCAGAGCCAAAGACCAGAGCTGGATTCTTAAAATATTCATGTGAAATCACACTGGATCCAAACACAGCACACACACGGCTGTTATTATCAGAGGGGAACAGAAAAGCAACATATATGGAACAACAACAGTCTTATTCTGATCATCCAGACAGATTCACTGGATGGTATCAGGTCCTGAGTAGAGAGAGTCTGACTGGACGTTGTTACTGGGAGGTGGAGTGGAGAGGGAGAGAAGTTTCTGTAGCAGTCGCATACAAGAATATCAGCAGAAAAGGAGGTGAATGTTTATTTGGACATAATGACAAATCTTGGTCATTATATTGTTACAACAACAGTTTTATATTTTGGTACAACAACATCCAAACTCCTGTCTCAGGTCCTCGTTCCTCCAGAGTAGGAGTGTACCTGGATCACAGAGCAGGTATTTTGTCCTTCTACAGCGTCTCTGAAACCATGACTCTCCTCCACAGAGTCCAGACCACATTCACTCAGCCGCTCTATGCTGGACTCTGGTTTTACTATTATTATGGAAACACTGCTGAGTTGATTAAAGTGAAATAGACTGAAGTCTTTCATATTGTTGTAAGTTTAAATCTGTATTTTAGTTCCCTTTTAGTTTCTCTCCATCATTATTGTGGTATTTATGTGCTGCACATAAATCAGATGTCAGTCAAACATTATGGGCAGTACCTCGACATCTTCAACATGTTGTCTTGATGTTTTTACGTTTTATAGGTGGAGCTCTTTCCTGTGTCTGTTCAGCCATGGAGACTATCAATGCTTATGGATATTTTTATTTGAAAAATTTCTCCACATGACAACATAAACTTCTCTATCTTCTAAATGTTTACTGAATATTTTTCTTAGGTATTTGTATGTTGTTGTTTCTCTTCACTGATCTTAACAGAGAAGTCTACAGACCTTCCTTTATCACACAGATTTTATTCTCATTTGTACATTTATAAAGAAAACAATTAATTACAGAGCAATAAGAAATTTTAAGAAAGTGCACTATATCATAATTTATAGTAAAGTGTATTAAAGCATCGTTAGTTAGTCACTTATTTAGTTTGGAGCTGTATCATCTGACACTGTAGAAACATTTCCTCCAGCTTCAGCACAGAATGTTAAAAACAGAACTATTAATGAGAACAAACAGTAGGAACACAGTATCAGCAAACATCATGGCTTAAAATGGAGAGTAAAAATCTAAAAAGAAATAAACAAATTAGTAAAAAGGATTTCCTGTTGACATGTTATTGGTCCTATCTTGTCTGCAGCACCTCCAGGATGCTTCTTATATGTTTCTGGTTATTTTTGCACCAATTTTAGTTTTTGTCAGTAGGAAGTTCAAGTTCAACTCAGTGTGTTTGTTTGTTTTTTTCAAACTGATGCCTGACCTTGAACACCAAACATCTGTCAATAAAGCAATGATATAAAATGCTTATATTAGTACTGAAAAACTGCATATCCACTTTACAAATATAAATAATGATATAAATCCACAGCTGAACTGGAGGAGCAGCTGATCTAGTTCACTCATGTGTTTCTGGACTAAGAGTTGGAGCAAATACCTTATGATTCAGTGATGTTTGTTTTTGTTCAATATTTTGTAGATCCAAGAGTGAGTTTGACTCATGATGATGATGTTCCGAATTAAACAAAGTTGGTCACAAATTCTTCAAAGCTGTTTATTAAGAATATATTCACTTGGACTCATGAGACAGGCTTGTGATCCAAGGGAGCCATCAACTGGACAATTACTGACATGACAACAAAAAAGCTAAGTACAGAGGGGGGAACAGAGGTGAAAATACTTGCTTTAAAGGATTGTAATGTTTCCTTTTAAAATAAGTCTCTAAGGTCAGACAAAGGGACAGAAACTCATAGCTTTCTACCAGCCCAATGACAAAACTATAAGTTGTTTTTTAACATCTACTTTTTCATCTATTTGGCAGTCACAGTGAAAAGTATAAACATTGGCACGCTTTGTCTTGTGATTCTGCTGTTCGTAAAAAATGACCATGCGCAAAGTACCAGACTTTAAGGCTTTGACTTGATGCCAATGGCCTGAGGAGGACAGTATTACCCTTGGACATGTGTAGTCTGCCGTCTACTCAATAGAAGAAGAAGAAGCGCGGAAATGGCACAACTGTCTTCAGTTTCTGGGAGAGTTTAACAATGAGAGACTGATGATGCAGAAGAAATCTCCGTGGTTAAAAACATTAAAAACAGTCGTCCAGGATGATGAGATCCGCCACTGGCTCAGACTGCTGTATATCAGCCGGAGACCCGAGATGAAGTCACGCAGCAGGTATGTAAAACTGTGATGTTCTCAATGAACTAACACAGGAACGATCTGAGCTCAGTCTGTAAGCTAACAGGCTAAAATCAGAGAGCAGCTAATCAAACAAGTGCGTCCGTTTTTTTTAAAGGTCAACTTTTAACAATAGACTTTCATGAGACACATCAAAACCAAACAGGGAGGGAAAGCTTCGGTTTTCTGCACTGTGCCACAGTTCGCTGTCTGCTTCGGTTCACGACGCCTCACTCCGGGGCTACAGACAGTTCTCTGCCGCCTGTGGTGCTCCTCACCTCCGTCTGCACCCACAGACTTCCCGAGGTGGAGGCAGGCCGGCAGGGACTTTGAGAGATGGGCTTTACTTTTAAAAATAGCCCTTAATCAGGGTCTAACTCACTAAAAGATGGCCACATGTCTCTCTCCAACTTAATCTCTTTCTTTTAAGTAATTGTTTTTCATTGAAATGAAATTAATTGTTCAATAAAATGATTACATTTATAATTGAATTAAAGTTAAATGAATCAAGGTGATTTTGACTTTGCTAGTTAACAGGAAGAGAAACAAACTTACACAGGATAAAATGAAATTTGGACCCAGCAGAAAAAGTCAGATCACAGACAAACAGAAACATTCCTCTTTGGCTAAAATAAAATGCAGATTATTGCTCATCTGCAGTTTTAATCATGGTGAATAATTTATGATTCAGCCAAGTAAGATTCTTCTGTGTGGAGGTTTTTCCCCTGTCAAAAGGCATTGACCATTACCTTCATCTAAACATGGAATTTAAGTCATGTAGTTGCCGTTGTTTGTTTTTAAAGAGCTCATAATATTTTTGTGATGGTAGAAATTTATCTTCAAAGTAATAGTTATAAAGTGAATTAATAAGACTTTCCAACAAAGAGAGGGAGTCACATGGTGCTTCTGAAACATTTGTACAAACCTCTCTCACATATGTGAGCAACATGCTCACAGTGTACAGCCCTGCTGACTGAGGCTGCACCTTTACCTGTCTAATCTTTTTCTTTTTACTTTGTTCCTCAAGTCCCACATCAACATGAAGTGTAAGGAGGAGGAAGATCTGGCTGGCCAGCAGGTCTGGAAGCAGGAGAGGAACTTCAATCTGGACCAGGAGGACACAGATCCCCCACAGATCAAAGAGGAACAGGAGGAACTCTGCATCAGTCAAGAGGGAGAACAGCTTGTAGTGAAACACGAGGATGAAGGCATCGTCGTCTGGAGCGGGGAAGAGCGGCTCAGACAGCTGCATAACATCTGGAAACCTGAGAAAGATTTACAGACCAGCGGTAAAACTGTAATCGCTTTTCTGAAGTGTTAACATTAATATTAAACCTACAGTTTGTATCAGTCAGATCTATTTAATGTGTATTCGTGAAAACATGACAGGGAGTTTTAAATGGACTGGTTCTTATATAGCGCTTTTCTACTCAATCTTGAGCACTCAAAGCGCTTTACAAAACTTGTGCATTCACCCACTCACTCCCATTCGCACAAGCACATTTTTCTTAGTGCTTTCTACCAACATTCAGACACACATTCCACAGATCAAAGAGCAACTTGAGGCAACTTGGAGTTAGTATCTTGCCCAAGGATATTTGAAATGCAGACTAGGTGAAGCCGGGAATCGAACCGATCAGTAGATGATCTGCTCTACCGCCTGAGCTACAGCCACCCCCAATAGTGAAGATTATTTTGAAAAATATCAAGATGTAGATCAGTTTCGAGATCAACTCCAAAATAGATCATCAGTCAGTCAGTAATAAGTGAGTTCTTTTTTGTTTGAAAGGTTTTTTTTACTCTTAATGTTGCTGAAAAATGTCAGAACTCAAGTTCTCATTTGCATCAGAGTGCACAAATAACTTCATTTTTACACACTTTTAATTTCACCTGCAAATGTGAGCAACATGCCCTCATTACAGACTTTAACTAAAACTTTATCTTCTCAGAAGTGTTTTTCTATAATTACATTTTTTTTATTGTTCGTTTAGACCTCCACCAGCAAACTGCCTGTAAGGAGGAGGAGTTTGTCGCCAATCAGCAGGAGAGGAACTCAAGTCTGGACCAGGAGGACCCAGATCCTCCACAGATTAAAGAGGAACAGGAGGAACTCTGCACCAGTCAGGAGCTGGAGGAGATTGTACTGAAGCAGGAGATCAATAGTTTTATGGTGACTTCTAGTTTTGAGGAAAGTGACCTCAGTGAATCAGAACCAAACGATGACCAGCTCCTTGCTCTTAACTTTCCTGAACCAGAGCTTGAGGAACAGGAAGAAAACCAGCATGTGGACTCGGGATCAACTAGAAATGCGGAGCTGAAGAAAAGGAGACGTCACAAAACCGAACAGATAAGTCTCGGAGTGAAACTGATACAAGTAAAAAATCTGTAAGCTGTGACACTTGTGGAAAAACTTTTCAGTGTAAATCCAACCTGACGAGACACATGAGAGTTCACACAAGTGAGAAGCCACATTCTTGTAGCACCTGTGGGAAAAGATTCATTTGGAAATCAGGATTGGAAACTCACGTAAGGATCCACACAGGCGAGAAGCCATATTTTTGCATCACCTGTGGGAAAAGATTTAATAAGAAATCCGGATTTGAAAGTCACGTGAGAATCCACACAGGCGAGAAGCCGTATTTCTGTAGCACATGTGGGAAAAGATTTGGTAAGAAATCAGGACTAGAAACTCATTTGAGAATCCACACCGGTGAGAAAGCGTATTCTTGCAACGTCTGTAGGAAAGAGTTTAGAGACTTGTCGACTATGAAAAGTCACAGAAGGATCCACACAGGTGAGAAACCATATATTTGTAGCTCCTGTGGGGAAAGATTCAGTTGGAAATCAGGACTGAATTTTCATCTAAGGATCCACCTGAGTGACAAACCAAATCACTGCAGCACCCGAGGTAGAAAATGACCTCATGCTCCAAGTCACGGTACATTTCCTGTCCACAGCAGTGAAGGGCACTCTATGTTGTTTGTTCCAGCCCTGACTTTATGTTTCTCTAAGTTTGATATTTTTTTTATTGGTCTTTAAAGGTGACACAAATATTTATTGAACATGGATGCTCTTTTAATATTTACCACAGAAACTTGTATTTCTTCTTCAGTATAGAAGAAAACAAACATGAAAATGAGTTTTTCATCACTTGTTCCTTGTAACAACCATGATGTGATTCCTTTTTATCAGCCAATAAATAAGTTTTAATACACAGGAATAAAGATTTAAAAAAGTTCAAGACAAGTATACAATTTTTATTTAAATATGTTTTCTTTGTGATTTATGTTAATGAAGGTTATACTTCAGTATGGCTTTGACCTGGTTGTCCTGGTTCTTCTTAGCAACATGTTGCAAGATTTGATTAAAAATGTTTGTGACTAATTTTGTGTATTGTGTAATCCCTGCTAAATAAAAGCAGTTAAATGTGCTATATTGGCTCATGATAAGTGTTTATATCATTTTGCCTAAATGCAAGTAAACTCAATGTTTGCCAACTCTGTGTGTGCAGTTTGCTTCATAAGTACAGTAACAGAACTTGAACTACATGGAGCCTATTTTGATTACATCATTACAGATGTAGATATTATTCATAGTTCATATTTCACAGTGTGCTGCAATCTTCTCCACAGACCTGCATTGCTCTCTGTTCAGACCCGTCATCTTCAAGATGTCCACTAGATGTCGTCAGAGTTCCCCCACTTTCCTCATCTATTGTGTTGCCATTACGTGATCCTGCTTAAAACCTACAGTCCTTTACATATGGGTTCATTCAGGGTCATGTTTAGTGGGCAGGTTTAGTGCAATGAAGGAAACTCGTTTTCTTTAACTTTACCTCTCAGTAAGTAACTGGAGTAACAGACTCACTGATTCCTCCCCACCTGCTGGACATGAACCAGCTGACTGACACTTGTTTTCATTTTCTCATTCATAAAGTTGCTACCAGTTCAATTCATTTATATTTATATAGTGCCAAAAAACAACAGTTGCCTCAAGGTGCTTTATATTGTAAGGTAAAGAATGTAAAAACCTCCACAATTGAACAAGCTGAAAAGAGCAAATGCTTGGCAGCAGTGGCAGAAACAGGCTGTCTGTCGTAATCACTGTAAAACACTAATCACTGGTCAGTCATTTGTTGTGTTGCAATCGGTTACACTGAGGGAAAAAATTTCACAACTGGATCTCGGAGATAATGTGAATATTTGTGAAAATATGTGAAGATGAGGCTGAAATAACTCTGAGACTCTAAAACATGATGAAATGCTTACATATTGAAATGTGTGTAGTAACATGACCTACAGCTTGTTTAAGAACTCGTGATTTTTTCCCCCTGTTGGCATAAGGTGAAATCCTGCATAAAGGAGGTGACCTTTGCTCCCTGACTCAGACGTGATAAACATGACCCAAATCATTCACGTTGGTGCCAAATAATGTTTTGTTAAAGTTTAACAAGCTTTCCCAGCCTGAAACTGCCAGACAAACAAATCACCTGTTGGAGATGCTGGTTTAGCTCCCTGGGTAAAGTGGGTGACCCAGATGCTAAAGCCCAGCTATGACTCCTGCCTGAGGACTTTTAGTCTTGGTTTGCATCCAACTTTTCTGCCACAATAGTTCAATTTTCTTAATAAAACACCAAATTACAACAAGTTACCTCAAGGCAGTTTATATTGAAGGCACTTTATTTGAAGGTAAAGATCCGACAATAATACAGAGAAACAACAGGTAGAAGCAATGGAAGATTGAAAATAACGGTTGTCATTACTTTTCATTCAGTCATAAGATACAGAAACACCATCTGTTGTGTGTAAAGATGAACAGTAGGGGTAGGGTGATTTTCACCAGATCAAAGCCATGGATTCACAATTATGGTTTGGTGCTGTTGAGTACCTGGATAGAAAATGCACATGTGGAATGGTAGAAAGTGTTCAGCATGCTTTGATGATCTGCTTCAACTATGCTGGGGTGAGCATTACAGACTGCTTCTTAAATTTAATAACCAAATTGCATCAATGGGGAACTATAAATTCTACATTTGGATTTCTGATTATTATTTCTGGCTGATTTTCATTAGATCGACCTGAGTAGGGCAGCGACAGATGTGTGCGGTCCAGAAGTAGAAGAAGAAGAAAGAGGAGAGCAGAAATGATGACATTCTAGGCTCGCTTTTCACCTTTGATGTACTCTTAGCTGGAAGACTTTGGTTTGGTGATGTGTTAGAGATAATTTAGTGGTTGAAGCTACTGTGGACTGACCAGATCTGCCATCAGCTCAGAGTGCTGGATATCACCGCAAACCTGAGACAAAGTCATACAGAACAGGTGTGTAAAACTGTGATGGTGTCAGTGAAATAACACTGACTCATGCAGGACTCTGATAAAAACTCAGCTTGTGGGCTAACAGACTAAAATCAAAGAATGCTTCTCTTTTTCTCTTTTGTTAAAAACTTTGAACATCCAGTGAGACACAGAGTAAAGTGACTTTCCGAGATTGTTTCTTCTTCTACAGATTCAGATAAATGATGTCATTTTGAGCCAGAAAGAACATTTCCATCATAAAGTAGAAGACTTTTATATTCTTTATTTATTTATCTGGTAAAAAGTCTCATTGACTTTGAAATGATCTGGCCAAGACCAGAAGCTCCAGTTTTCTCTGCTTCTGTTTGCAGCAGAGCAAAAAGGACAGAGAGCAAGGGACGAGAGAAGACATGAGACAAAGACATGAACGGGACCAAATACTAACCAAGACAACCTAAACAACAAATACTGAATAAATTCAAGAGCGTAAGCCCTTGAATTCTGATTTAATAAAGTAAATCAGAATACTTTATTAATCCTGTAGGATTAATAAAGTATTCTGATTCTGATAACTAGGAAACATAAGATACACAGAGAACAGAATAATGATTAAACAAGACTCAAAAAACCAAACACAAAACACTGGGTCAACGGCCCAGGTACCCTAACAGCCGAGGGAAAAGATGACCTCCTATTCACATCAGTATGGTATATTTTACTCCCATATCACTACTCAAAGATCATATTTTATTGTTGTAGGTTGTGGAGGTGACACACACACAAGCTGTAGTTCAACAATGACTTCATTCCTCTATTGACCTATAAAGAGGTCTTGTTACATAAGATTAAAGCTGGAAACTGACACACATAAGCCCAAACACATTGTGTTATTGTGGACGTTGAAGTCACTGCATGTGTTTTTCATGAAGATTAAACTTTCCTGTGCTGTTGGTTCTTTGTTTAATTCTGTTGATTCTTACTTTTTTGTTCCTAAAGTTTAAACTAAACTCTTGTTGGATACCAGGTGTTCATTTAATAAAGCTGCAGGTTCAAACTTCTAACTGCATGAAAATGTAATGTGTAATGTCATGTGTTTCTAAGTACCATCATTGATTTTGGTCATCAAATCAGCCATTACTCATTTAATTTGATGTAAATTTCCCCTAATTTGCATATTCAGATTCAGTATTCAGTACCACATGTGAAAGTGACCCAGATCAGATTTGAAAATATTGGATTTGTGCCGTTCACACTGTCATAGCATGATCGGATATAGGGTCGCATAGGGTCAAAAAAATCGGATTTAATGCGCTTTCGCCTGCAGTGTGAATGTAGCCTTAGTTAGTTCTTAGAGTTTGGTTTCTGTGTTCCCCTCTATTTAGTGTCTGTACCGTGTCTCTGTGCATTTCCTGTTTTATTGTGAAGGTCCATGTCTTATGTTAGTGTGTTCTGTTCACATTTCCCCCTGTCTCGTGTAGTCAATTAGGTTCAGCTGTGTCTTTGCCATTCCATGTCTCCCCCTGTGTGTATTTATACTATGTGTCCTCGTGTGCTCCTCGCCGGTTCATCTGTGTTTTTTCCTGCATCATTCTGTGTCGTCTCCCTGCATCTCCATTTTAGGTTTCAGTTCTGTGTTGTGTTAGTTTTTTCCAGTTTAGGTTTCACCTCCTGCTGGCCTCCGTTGCCCGTTCCTAGATGCCCCTGGTCTCATATCGCACTGGACTTCATCACTGGTCTCCCACCATCCTCAGGTAACAGTTATTCTGACCATCATCGATCGGTTCTCCAAAGCTGTGCATTTCATTGCTCTGCCTAAGCTCCCATCAGCTCTGAACACCAGCCAGATTCTTACACAGCATGTGTTCACGTTCTGGGTTTGGAGAGAGTTTTGCAAGGAACTAGGGGCTCAAGTCAGCTTACCATCCGCTTTCCATCTCAAACTAATGGGCAAATGGAACAGGCAAGCCACCTTGGCTTTCATACCTTGGCTCAGGCGATTAGAGGATCATCAGGGGGTCCTTTTGTCCCTCTGTGGGGGGGATACTCCCACTAGGTTTAAATCTGGGACTCCCCACCATTTGATCTTAGAACTGAAGAAGCTTCTCGGATGAGAGGTGAAAAGTCTTCAAGCAACTTAAACAAGTCCAGACGCTTTTCTTTGCAAGCTGATTTGACTACGATGACCTGGATGACTGAGAACCTTCACAGACATAATAAACACAAAGGTTTTGTTCTATAACATTTTTCTATCATTGCTTTATTATGGATTAGGTGCAAGAGTTGTTAAAATGTATAATTAAATAATAGATGAATTCAATAGCAAACTGTGCCTTGTTCTCAGATGGACAGCAAGTGGAATGTGATAGATGAGATGAGGAGATGGAAGGAAGAAGAGAGGCAAAGAGTGATTCACAGGCAGAGCTTAGTTTATTTCCCAGTTTTGTTGCCTTATGGTTCCAAGCGCCGTGACCAATCTTTGCGTTTTATTATTATCTCATAACACTTGTTTAATCAGCTACCCTCTCTCCTGTGGACTGTTTAATCTCTACAGTCTCAGATCAACACAGCCCTGCCCTCCAGCACTATCAGCAGCAAGAGCAGAAGCAACCCCCCAAACAGCAACATTGTACCCCATCAGGTAAAAAATGGGCTACGTTTGCTTTGCATTGTGCCCACCTGATGACAGTGATGTAGTGTGATGTGATTCCATATTAGATTCTTGATGAATGTGGGTTGTTGTTCTTCAGCCTGCTTCTATGTGCCCTTTTTAACTGTGAGCACCCGCCCCTTTAAACATCTCTGCACTGCCCTGACTAAATGTATATATAAACTGTCTCTATGGTTTACAGTCTGAGTCTGACAAGCTGTCAGCTGTTCATTTCTGCTATTTGAATTGTTAAAAGAAACAAACTATTCATTTAGCAGATTAACAAAAAGAATTGAGAGGCATCCAGTTATTGACATTTATATTATTTAGTTAAAGGTTTGAACAGAAAAACAATTAAACACAGAGCCTCTTCCTGCTTTCTGGAATGAATCACAGCATGAAAACCCTTCCTCTTCTTCCTGCTCTCTAGCTCAGCACCTCCTGTCTGTCCATATCTTTCTGTGTTCCCTCCCCTTTAGATCTACATTATGAAGATGGGTGTAACCAACGTGTGTTAGAGCTGGCAGGCCCCATTCACAGCAGCAACACTTGTTGTTCAGATCAGGTCAGACCAGTTTCTATATTAAGGAAGTGAAACTTACACAGTCACTGACACTGAGAGGAGAAATGGCGCAGAAAGGAGTTCAGCTGGACCGAGAAACCTTCTCTTGTTCGATCTGTTTGGATCTACTGAAGGATCCGGTGACTATTCCCTGTGGACACAGCTACTGCATGAACTGTATTAAAAGCTTCTGGGATGAAGAAGAAAAGAAGAAAATCTACAGCTGCCCTCAGTGCAGACAGACTTTCACAGCGAGGCCTGTCCTGGTGAAAAACACCATGTTAGCAGTTTTAGTGGAGGAGCTGAAGAAGACTGGACTCCAAGCTGCTCCTGCTGATCACTGCTATGCTGGACCTGAAGATGTGGCCTGTGATGTCTGCACTGGAAGAAAAATGAAAGCCTTCAAGTCCTGTTTATTCTGTCTGGCATCTTACTGTGAGAAACACCTTCAGCCTCATTATGATTCACCTACATTCAAGAAACACAAGCTGGTGGAGCCCTCCAAGACGCTCCAGGAGAAGATCTGCTCTCGTCATGATGAGGTGATGAAGATGTTCTGCCGTACTGATCAGCAGAGTATCTGTTATCTCTGCCCTGTGGATGAACATAAAGGCCACGACACAGTCTCAGCTGCAGCAGAAAGGACTGAGAGGCAGAGAGAGCTGGAGGTGAGTCGACAAAACATCCAGCAGAGAATCCAGGACAGAGAGAAAGATGTGAAGCTGCTTCAACAGGAGGTGGAGGCCATCAATCAGTCTGCTGATCAAACAGTGGAGCACAGTGAGAAGATCTTCACTGAGCTGATCCATCTCATCCAGAAAAGAAGCTCTGATGTGAAGCAGCAGATCAGATCCCAGCAGGAAACTGAAGTGAGTCGAGTCAAAGAGCTTCAGGAGAAGCTGGAGCAGGAGATCACTGAGCTGAAGAGGAAAGATGCTGAGCTGAAGCAGCTCTCACACACAGAGGATCACATCCAGTTTCTACACAACTACCCCTCACTGTCAGCACTCAGTGAGTCTACAGACTCATCCAGCATCAATATCCGTCCTCTGAGCTACTTTGAGGATGTGACAGCAGCTGTGTCAGAGGTCAGAGATAAACTACAGGACATTCTGAGAGAGGACTGGACAAACATCTCACTGACAGTCACTGAAGTGGATGCTTTATTACCTCGTCGGGACAGACGCCGTGTGCGTGCATTTCACCTCCCTCGCGTAGTGTCTCCCCACACCCCATCATTCGTTCCCAGTGTATCGTTTTCCCATGAAGAGCATCAATCAGCTTTCTTAGATCGAAAAAGAAGGACACGCCAGAACCGACTGACAATGTTCAAAACAATAGAAAAAAATTCTAATAACAATGGATATTCTAATTACACCATCAGAGCTAAAGAGGCAGGAGAGACGCCTCCTGTGTGGAGCCCTCCCCATTGAGTGTTGTTAGTGTTGCTTCTAGTACACTTCTAGATTTGTCTGTTCATGAGTTGGTATTATTTTTGTTGTAGGTATTTTATATTTCCTTGATTATTTTATTAGTTAATTTTGCTAGTTTTTCGAAGGGAAACTTCCCGTGTCTCTTTAGTCGTGGAGGCTATCGCTGCTCATAATAATTTTATGATTTTCATTTTAAACATATATATTTTTCCAAATGTAAATCTTAAATCTAAATGTAAATCAAAAATTTTATTTAACATGTATATTAATGCTTTTGTATGTTATTGTTTCTCCTTCACTTCATGGGCTTTCCATTATCACAGTTTTATTTTCTAAATCAAAAAGCAAATGGGGTGTTATCAGAACAAGGTTTCTGTGATCACACTTGACGAGGAGATTAGTCATTATGTTCATTGTTTAATGTGGGAACCAGCTGAAGGGTTTTCAAATAAATAAATTTTTGAACAAAGTCTTTTCCTCAGTCTTCATTCCAGGATCTTGACATCAGACTGGTGTTAGTTTGGATGTATTTTCCTTTGGAATTTGGGGTTTATTCTTTGGCTTTTACATTATAAAGAAATTTAACTCTGTTATTGGGTCCATACCCAGTGTTATATTGAAATCAATGAAAGTCTTCAAAAAGCCGCAGGAGGTCCTCAAACCTGAACACATCATCGTATAAATGAAATGAGAAATTAATGCGCACACAGACATGTAAGAAAAGGCTTCGGATTCCAGGAATTCTTTTCAAATACTGCATCACAAAGTAAAACGGATTCTGTAAATATTACATAATACCTCATAAACATATGAAGCTTTCTAAATGTTCGCGACAGTTACACCTTTTACAAGGCTGAGCAGTAAAAGTAAATTTCTGTTTGCACATAATGTTGACATAATGATTACAGAATGCACTGTGTTTTCTGAAATCAGCTTTGAATTTAATGTTAATGTATGCAGTGCAAAACAAAACCTTTTATTTTCACATTCTTGCAGAGGTCCGCCTGTGGTCGTAACTAATGATGGAGAGTCAGAGGTGGGAGAGTGTGTGTGTGTGTGGGGGGGGGAAAGAGAGCGGCTTCTCCCTGTCTTCCTCTTTTACAAAGAAAATGAAGGAGTGGAGGTAGAGGAGGAGAATATGGGGAGACAAAGGATAAAGATTAAGAATAATTAGTCTCTGACTGCTCATCTCACTGTCATAGTTCAGTGTGTTTGGCCCAGAGTCTTAAGATTTTTGGTGGCTCGTGATTTTTTTCTTTTGGATTTAAGAGTTCTCTTAAGTCCTTTGAGTATTATAGTGAGTTTTCTTTTCTATGATAATCAGATGATCTTAGTTTCCTTTCATGTCCTGTCTTATCCCGTCTCTGTGTTTGAAGTCTCCTGTATGAAGTAAGTCCTGTCTCTGTTTGTTTTTCTTTCTGTCCTTGCAGGTCAAGTGCCTGATTGTAGGTAGCTAAAAGCATCTTCAGGTCTGATAGCATAGGGATGTTCAGCTGCTACAGTTTTTGCCTTGCAGTTAGAGGTTTCTTATTCTGAAGGTGGCTCCTTTAACATACTTTAGGGCCCTTTCATAGACGAGTAAAAGTTTATTATAGTAAGATTTAACTATTGAAAGCAAGTGGAATAACTACCAGCATCCAGTGTGCCCAAGTGAAGAAAAATAAGTTATGCAGGTCAGTTTGTGTTGCTCAGAAGCAGTTTGCAAAAAGTTGCTTATGTTATTTTTCCCAACTTTCCCCCCCATGTTCTTTTATGTGACGTTTCAGTGTGTCAGGGTCTTGTCTAAGTGTTAGTCATTGACTTCCCCTTTTATTTGATGGTCATTTGTTTCTTATGCTTTGTATTTAGTTTTACTTCCTGCGTCATTAATTCTGATGAGTCTCACCTGTGTGTTCAGTCGTTCCCTATTCCCCTGATTAGCTCTAATGTGTATAAATTAGTATGAAAAGCACAACATGTATTAGTATACATAATTTCAGTTATCCTTTGTTCTTTGTGACCTTGTCTGTTTTTCAGTCGGGATTTTGTTTGTTGCTTTTCTTCTGAATTTTTGTGGTGTTCTTGCTGGACTGTCACGAGTTGCTCTGAGGATCCACGGAAATTGTGCTATTTACAAGACGTGAGGGGCGGGGTTCCAGGGGAAAAAGGGAAATCACACACACACGTCCACACCGACCTCTCTCCACACGGGGAAACACGGGGACGGGTCTGGGGAATCTAGAGACACAGAAACACACTTTAACGTCTGATATGTCGGCACAGGACACTTAAGCTAGACTTGTACTAATGAGAGTCTTCACAACAATCCAGCGTCAAACAGCAGACCTTCTCCCTCTTAAATACCCGCTGGTCTGATGAGGCCCAGGTGTTCCCAATCGGCGTGGGCTGAGGGCGTGAACCCACCATGAGTTCCATGAGAGAGAGATACCCATTTGTGTGAATGTGAATGGTTATTTTGGAATCACCAATTAACCTAACCCCACTAATTGTATGTTTTGACTGTGGGAGGAATGCTGGAGTACCCAGAGAGGCTGAACTTCCACCTATAAAATTAAAAGTATTTTCTTTTGACTCACTTTGTCTGAGAATCTGCATTTGGCTCCTGCACACACATAACAGTCAGAGCTTCTGGACAAAAATAATTTCACCCAAATCTGTTAAAAATAAAATTAACCTGAGCAGGTTTAAAATAAAGCAAAGAAAGGAGAATCCCTTTATTAACTAAATAAAGTTAGATTTAAATGACTCTGCTTTTATCTACATACCTAACTGTTGTTTCCTAGTGTTAAAATTACTGCACCTGGGTGTGGTCCTCTCTCAATGTAAGGCACGTCACATCTCCTGTAAAAATTAAATAAATGAGATACAATTGACATTTGCACATCCGTCAAGCAATGCTGTTAAAAAAGGCTCTCAGCTGCTACTGTCAGGGTTGCTAAGCAACAGGAGCAGCGCGTCGTAGGCTAGACGATCTCAATTAAAGCAGCCTCGGAGAAGGATGCAGCCCCTGAATTGGGACACAGCTTTAGTACTCAAGGGCTCTGATGGATGTTATCTTCAGGTGTGATACATATATGTCTGCAGTTAGCTGGAAGATTTTGGTTTGACAAATATTTCAGTTACTGAAGCAACAATGTCTTCAGTTCAGCATTTGAGAGACTTTATCAGGGAGAGACTAACTGCTACAGCTGAAGACATCTCCTCTGAGGCTGAAAAAACGATGGTCCAGTATGAGGAGGAGATCAGCCGTCAGCGCAGACTGCTGGATATCAGCCGGAAACCCGAGACAAAGTTACACATGACAGGTATGTATAACTGCGATGATCATGTAGGACCCTGATCAGAGCTCAGTTTTAGGCTAATGGAGTTATATACATATACACACACACACACACACACACACACACACACACACACACACGTAAACTTTTAGCATTAAACACTGAGTAAGGCGCAGAGAAAGTCACTTTTGAGGTTAAAATGTGAGACAAAACTTGTGCCACAGCTGGCTGACAGCTTGATCTCTCTGTCCCTTACCCTGTGTGCCCTGAAGCAGGAGTCATCTGCTCCTCACCACCCATCTTCATCCTTTGAGATGTGTTTAGTGATCAAAATCACCGCCTAATCAGGGCCAAACTCCCTGCAAGACGACCCTGTGTCTCCCATCACTCTCGTCTCTTTTAAACAAAAAAATCGATTCGACTTAAATGTAAGTTTTATTTTCAAAATTTACCCTGTTAAATAAGTGAAACTGCAATAGGTTTATGTGACCAAAAATAATCATGATTATGAATTTTGCTGTAAGCTTTTGCAGCAGCTTTAGCTCAGACTAAAATGATTCAGCTGTGTGGAGGAAATCTGGGGGAAAAAGCCCACTTCCAATGTCTTTGAGTCTTTCATTAAAGCTGCAGAAGGACCAGCATGAACAGACACACAAAGCATTTTGTGCAGGCTGGATAACGAAGAACTGCACTCTGAGAGACAGTTATTGAGTGAGCCTTCCTGATAAAGAAAGACCGACCTTGAGACTGAATGAAAAGAGCTACAATGAGCAAACTGGTTCAGACTGGCTGCATACTTACTTCCTGTACACATAAACTGTGGAAAATTACAAAGTAATAAATAATAATAATAAATAATATAAATATAAATAATATTTTGGAAGCTTCTATGGAGATGACCATATATCGCACCTCTTTCCTTAATATTAGTCATTTAGTTTGAGTCATAGTCATAAGTCTCATTACACGACATGACATCACACAGCTCTACACCTCAATCAGATTCATTATATGTTGATAAACCTCTTGAGCTGTAGCATCTCTTTGTTGAAGGGGTCAAAACAAAAATTCATGCACCAAATGATAAGAAAACAATACATACTATGCACAACTAACACAGAACGAATAAGACAAGCAAACAGAAAACAAAAGGTCACAAGACAAATAAATAAAATGATAGCTTTTTACAAAGCAGCGATAAAACAAATAAGAAGTGTGCCTTTTGGCATAGGCACACTTAATGAACACTGATGAACTTAATGAAAATATATGTAGTCTGGTTTGAGAAACAAAACATGTTTGAATAAGTAAAAAGCTAACATGGAGCAGAAATTTGAAATATTCAAAGGTAGTATTTCACACAGAAAGAGCCAAAAAAATAAAATCTTTGATCCAAAGACCAACTTCCTCAGATACAAAATGGACATTAATGATGAAACTATAGAGAGAAATTACACAGTTTGTCCAAACATACACAAAAAGGGCTTGCAAAAAAAAAACATTCATTACAACTAAAAATACAACAAATGTAGCTCATTTCCCAACACGGGACCTGCAGGCTTTTAGATAGTACATAGATCAGGTTGGTAGAGATCATTATAACATACTATAAAATAATTTAAAATACCCCAAATGTCAGACTAGTTAGTCAAGTGTGGCTAATGTTATAAGTGCTAACAAGCAAGCCTACTTTTTTTCACAGGTCCACACATCTTAATGTGGTTAAACATTACTCCTGTTTAGTTATATGCAGGACTGTACTGGGGCATAAACCCAGGCTATGAGCCTGACATATTTGCTTTTTAGGGCTGTCATTATATCTGATTTTCTTAAGTTTACATGTTACACGGTGTATTTGCTAGTTAAATGCATCACTGCTTTATTTTGCAGGGTGAGAATGTTTATTCAGAGACAGAGAAAGATGTAAGAACAAGACAGGTTGAATTCTGTTTCTGTGAAATGAACACTGACTTTGTGTTATTCAAATGTTTGGTAACTCATCTACAATGTGGGATACAGCAAACAAGCAATTCAATTTATGTTGTTTTCCCATTGCTTGTTATGTTTTCTACATAACAGATGAGTACTATTCTTCCATCCATCCACTTATCCGAAGTTGGGTCAGTAAGCTAAGCACACTTTTCCAG